TAAAATAATAATAATAAATCTAAGGTGATGGGGCAGTGGGAAGGGAGAACTCCATAATCTTTCTATTCTAAGTACACAAAGTCCCTTCCTGATAGTCTCAGAAATATAACCCTCCCAGAGCATCAAGACCCGCTGGGAAACGCCACACAATTCCTTCCAGTTATTTAGTCTGACTTCAAAGGATATCCATCACACCCATAACAAGTTTTCTGATTCTTTTTTCCTGTTGCTAAAGAACCTTAAAGAAAGTCCATTTCCCTCTCCTCTGGGAAACTGTCACTGGTAAACTGTATTCTTGGGGTTCTTCTTTGCTAACACATTCTCCCACACCTAGCTGGCTACAACAGGAACTTAATCCCCTTTCCATACAGTTCCTAAAGATGTGCCCCTAACTGCCTGTCCCACTTTTTATAAAAAGTTTTAGGCACAAGCAATGTGGCACATCAGGTTAAGCTGGCACCCACATCCCACACCATGGTGAATGGGATCAAGTCCCACCTCCACTTCGGATCCAGCTCCCTGCTAATGCACCTAGCAGGCAGCAGATGAGGCCTAAATACTTGAGTACCTGCCACCGACATGGGAGACCTGGGTGGAGTTCCAGGCTCCCAGCTTCAGCCTGGCCCAGCCCTGGCTGTTGCAGGTGTCTGGGGAATGAACCAGCAGATGGAACTTCTCTCTACCCTTATCCCATCTGATTCTCTGTCTCTTGTCACTTTTACCTTTCAAATAAACTTAAAAATAAGAAAACAGAAAAAAGGTTTTACTGAAAACCATTATAGGGAAAGAATCAAGTAAAATAAAAAATAGCAAATATAAAAGAGGTACATAATAGCCAAAATGCAATCTTCTCTTCAAAGTCCAAAGAACCAACCTACAGAAAGGTCCCTTTTCTAATCATGAAGCTAGAAGATAAAATCTAGATGTAATATTTGAGTCATTTTACATGTCCAGACAACCTATTAAAAATTAGAATATTTTCTATTTACAGAAAAATTGAAAAATCTCAAAATATCCCATACCACTTCCCCTACTATTAATATCTTGCATTAATACCGTATACCTGTCACAAGTAACTAACCTACATTACTACTATTAACCAAAGCCCATATGTTATCCTGATTTCCTGAGTTTTCCCCTAGTGTCCTTTTCTATTCAGAATTCCGACCAGGACACCGTGTTACATTCACTGCCATATCTCCTTAAACTTCTCTTGGGGATGAGTGTGGCCTGGCAGTGAGGACTCCTGCTCTCATACTGAAGTGTGTAGGCTCCATGCTCAGCTCTGCTCCTGACTTCAGCTTTCTGTTGATGCATTCGCTGGGAGGCCGTGGTGATGGATCAAGTAATCAGGTTCCTGTCACCCATGTGGGAGAGCTGGATTGAGTTCCCGGCTCTGGGCTCTGGGCTTTGGCCCCAATCATTGTGGCATCTGGGGAGTAAACCAGTGGATGGGATATCTATCTCCCTCTCTCCTTCTCAATTTTTAAAAAAAATTCCTCTTGGCTGTGAGTTTCTCAGACTTTGTTTCCAATAACCTTGACCATTTTGAGGAGTACCGTTTATCCATGTTTTAGGTTGTTTCTTCACTTTTACCTACACTTTGCCACTCCTCCCTTTTTGGAATATCTTCCCAAATTATTTTTCCATAATAGCAGTTCAGCATTGTGTAACTGGCAATCTGGGACACTGGGAGAGGAGTCCACGTGCTCAAAATGTTCATAATTTGTACCAAGACATTTTCTTTTTTTAACTCTCATTCTCTCAAAAGTATGGTGCTTTCAGTGGATGACATCACCACCCTCAGGAGGAATGGAACGTGTGCCTTGTGTATTCTTGTGTTTTCTAAAGCTCTAAATTTAGAAAATAAATGCATTTATTTTTAAAAGATTTATTTACTTATTTGAAAGAGCTACACAGAGAGAGGAGAGGCAGAGAGAGAGAGAGAGAGAGAGAGAGAAAGAGAGATAAGTCTTCCATCTGCTGGTTCACTCCCCAATTGGCTGCAATGGCCAGAGCTGCGCCAATCTGAAGCCAGGAGCCAGGAGCCTCCTCCGGGTCCCCCACGTGGGTGGGGGTGACTTGGGCCATCCTCTACCGCCCTCCCAGGCCATAGCAGAGAGCTGGATCAGAAGTGGAGCAGCCGGGTCTCAAACTGGTGCCCATATGGGATACCAGCACTGCAGGTGTGGGGGCTTTACCCTAAGCCACAGCGCTAGCTCCATAAATGCATATTTTTAAAAAGGTCTTTTACTTGTTTCTAAAAATTCATCTTTTTTCAATTCACTTGAAAAGCAAAGTGACAAGAGAGAGACAAAAAGAGATCCACCATCTGCTGGCTCAATCCTCAAATTCCCACAACAGCCAGGGCTGGGTCAGGCCAAAGGAAGGAATCTAGAATTCAAACTGAGTCTGTGGCAGAGTGGCAGGAATCTAACTATTTGAATCACAACCTGCTGCCTCCCGCTACACATTAGTGAGAATCTGGAATCAGAAAGAGCCAGAACTCAAGCCCAGACACTCAAATAAGGGACGCAGGAGCCCCAAGCAGCCTCTTTAACCATTGCCCCAAACACCTTCCCCTATAAATGTACATTTTAGAGCTTGTTCTCAGTACTTCATTATACCTGCTATAATCTACATATCTACAAGGATGTACTTTCTATGTCTATTTCAAGTGTAATACAGCAGACTGAATGGAAACAGGAGATGGAAGAATCTAGCTATCTTCTGTTAAGCCCGACACACACGAGATTTGCAAAAATGTAACACAATAATATTCAGTAATTTTTTTGCTTTGGAAAAACATTTTAATATAAAAATGTAATCTATATTAATATAATTAACTTTTAAATGACAGGGTTCAGCCGGCGCCGCAGCTCACTAGGCTAATCCTCCGCCTTGCAGCGCCGCACACCGGGTTCTAGTCCCGGTTGGGGCGCCGGATTCTGTCCCGGTTGCCCCTCTTCCAGGCCAGCTCTCTGCTGTGGCCAGGGAGTGCAGTGGAGGATGGCCCAAGTGCTTGGGCCCTGCACCACATGGGAGACCAGGAGAAGCACCTGGCTCCTGCCATCGGATCAGTGCGGTCCGCCGGCCGCAGGTGCCAACCGCGGGGGCCATTGGAGGGTGAACCAACGGCAAAAGGAAGACCTTTCTGTCTGTCTCTCTCACTGTCCACTCTGCCTGTCAAAAAAAATAAAAAGAAAAAAAGAAAAAAAAAGAAAAAAAATGACAGGGTTCAAGTTTTCAGTTTTAGTTTCTAATACGATAAATATCAAAAGATACAACCAAAGAAAAGCTGAAGTTCCTTAGAGTCCTCGGTGATTGTTAAGAGTAAAGACGTCCTGATAATGACTAGTCTTTAACATTCTTCCTATTTTTTCAAAATCCCCTTCAATCTCCACCTCCCCCCCAGGAGGTCTGAGAAGGAGAGGAGAGACACTTGTGCCTCCTTCACACCTCTGCTGAAGTACACTTCAGAATGACTCACAAAGGTATTTTATAATAGGGTTAGTTTTGTGAGTGAAATATGCTTTGAGGTTAGAATGGGATTCTGAGCAAAGTTTGTCTCCTTTGACATTTTTTACCAGCCATGGTGCACACTTAACTGGAGGAATTTAATATGTAAATATTTATTAGTCTCTGTCTACTGATTTTTTTCCTTTAAGGTCTCCTGATCTTGACTTTATAAACAAAGCCTCAGCATACACACACACACACACACACACACACCAAAAAAAAAAAAACCAGAAACAAAACTGCAGACACATTTGCCAATTGAATATCTTAGGTTCTACCCACAACTGTTTGAGTTTTACAAAACCATTTTCCTTTACTTCATAGCTAATTATTTTCTTCCTTTTCTGTTACGACCAGTCCTGAAGCTCCAATAAGACTAAAAGGTAACCTTTTACATGGAACAAGTGTTCTGTGTCAGCATGCAAAGAACAATTAGCAAGCTAAAAAAGCTGGATTCCTTCACAGCCTTAATTGGAGGAATACAAAACCCCAACAGAGACAGTCTCGCCCTCATATAAACCCTCAAGAAAGCGGCAGAAGAGTTTTTCATCCTTCTAATCAAAGTAGCATGAAAAAGAGCAGCAGCCCGAAAGCCAGGAATTCAATGTGAAATAAATGCTTTGTTTGCTCTTCTAGGAAAATTGCAATTGGGCTGCAGGCCGATACGACAAGGAAAACGCAAGGCCCTTTTACAGCCCGGGCTGTATACTTGAGCGCTCGAGCTGCGCCTCGGTTTCATCTTTTACTCCTTCACAAACAGGAAATTATGGAACTGGGGCAACCACACTTGTCACATCAAGGAAATCGCTTCCTAAACCAACTTTCTGTGCAATGGCTGACTCATTTGACTCATGAAAAACAAGTCCGTGTTTGTTTCCCTCGATGACAACAGTTGTAAAACAAGGCTTACGTAAGACATACGAGCGGAAATTCAGAAAGCAAGGTGAAGCAGAGAGAGACCCCCAAGCCACCAGGGAGGCCTTTGGGAGTCCCAGTTGCCCTCCGCCGCCTCTTCCCAGCCCCCGACCCCCACCCACCTTGTTAGCCCAGCGGCAGGTCCTCCCTTGCCGAGTCCCGACCCAAACCTTTAAGAATCGCCCAAGGAGCGGCCCTCTGCCGGCCTTCTGAGGCGAGCCTGTCCAGGTAATCAAGGCAGGTACGCCAGCGGCGACCACCACTCACTTTGCTGGATCCCCAGGCCGCTGCTGGCCCTGGCTCAGGCGATGCTACTCCGACCGGATCCATTGAAGAAGGCAGCGACAAGAACTCAGAGAACGGTGGCAGGTTGGGAAGCAGGCTCTTCTGAGAAGAGAGGTGGGGCAGGGACGGCCTGCTGCCGGTATCTGAGCTAAGGTGACAGATGGCGGCGGTAGCCGCCGCGTCCGGAACTAGATATCTTCTCTTCCGCCCTTATCGCGGGGATACTCGCTTCCTATTGGCTGCCTGCTCTTGGTTCCGTCTTAAGCCACTTTTGCCCCGCCCCCGGACGGGACAGATTTCCGGCTGCTATGCGCTCCGCCGGGGGTCGCCGAGGTCCCGCTGTTTGTTGGCTTGTGGTCACTGTGGCTGGTGTCGGGACAGGGTCAGGTGTGGCTTCCTGTAGCCCAGGTTCTGCCCTGTCCTCCGGTCATCTTCCCCTTTCTCGCTTCCTGGCAAGCAGAGACTGTTCAACGTAGATTAGACTGCGTGGACTATAAATAAACGAACCAGGCTCTCTGTTCATTCATTTCCTGGCGTAATTCTAAACCTGGATGGTTTGGGAGCCAGAAAATAACGTTTGGAAAGGAGAAAGGGACTCAAGAAAGCTGTCGTAATTTTGTTATTGCAGTTGTTTGGGGGCAGGGCATGGAATGGGAACATTTGCTCAATGTATTGCATAACATTGAGCAAAACTAGGACTGCATAATAAAAACTTTGATTCTGTGTTCTGGAGGGAAATTCTTATAAAGTGACCATATGAAAAATAAGCATTACATGTCACTGTATCTATACCCTCCCTGTTCGAAGTACTTTAACTCTGTAGCCCTCTAAACAACTCTGAGGGTTAAATACCATTCTCTCAAGTTTACTGATACTAAAACTGAGGCACAGAGAGGTAAGGTAACCTGCTCTTGGTCACACAAAGAGCAGGCATGTGACAAAGCTGGAGTGGTGAAGCCAGGCAGTCCAGGTTCTGGGATCGGCTCTACAAGATCTGTATGCTGACTTTCAAACATTCTATATGCATGTACTGAATAACAGTTTTCCCTAAATCTCAGTTCTGTGTTAGGATCTCTAACTGCCCATGCTTGGGTGAGCTGGGATTCAGAACTTCATGATCTCCTTAGCACATTAATTCTTGCCTTCTCATTCCAGGTCAGAACATGTTCTGAATCCTCCAAACTTCACAACTAATTTAAGGCACGTCTTAAGCTGTGTAATAGGATACAGACCTACTCTTGGCAAATGTTACCCATGTATGTGAATGTACCCAGAAATTGTTCCTTATTAGTATCCAACAGGTTATAAAAAGGGTTTACATTGTGAAAATAGATGTAAGCAGGGGGCAGGTTTTTGGCCTAGCGGTTAACACACTTATGTAGGATCCCAACATTCTACATCAGAGTGCCTGGGTTCAAGTTCTGCCTTTGCCCTTGATTCCAGCTTCCTGCTAATGTACACCCTGGGAGGCCTCAAGTACTTGGATCACTGATACCCATAGGGGAGACCTGGATTGAATTCCTGGGTCCTGGCTTCTGGCTTCAGATCAGCACAGCTCTTGCTGTTGCAGCCATTTGGGGAGTGAACCAGTGGATGGAAGATTTCTCTCTCTCTCTCTCTCTCGCTCTCGCTCTCGCTCTCTCTTTCTTTTCCTCTGCTTCTCTGTAATTATGCCTTTCAAATAAAAAATAAATCTTAAGAATTATTTATTTATTTGAAAAGTAGAAAGAGATATATAGAGAAAACCCCCATGTCCTGATTCACTCCCCAATGCCCACAACTGCCTGGCCTTGGCTGAGCCACAGCAGAGAGCCAGGAACTCCCATACAAGTGGTAAGGACCCAACTACTTGAATGTCCCCTGCTGCCTTCATGGTTCACACTAGCGGGAAGCGGGAATCAGGAACAGGGCCAGGACTCGGACCCAGGCACTCTGGTATGGGAATTCAGGCATCCCAAGTGGTGTCTCGACCACTGCACCAAATGTATGCCCTTATCTAGAGATCTTACATATTTTTTTAAGATTTTATTTATTTACTTGAGAGATAGAGTTACAGACAGTGAGAGGGAGAGGCAGAAAGGTCTTCCAACCGCTGGTTCACTCCCCAAATGGCTGCAACGGCCAGAGTTGGGCTGATCTGAAGCCAGGAGCCTCGAGCTTCTTCTGGGTCTCTCACACAGGTACAGGGGCCCAAGTGCTTGGACCATCTTCCACTGCTTTCCCAGACCAAAGCAGAGAGCTGGATCAGAAGAGGAGGAGCCAGGACTAGAACCACTGCCCATGGAGAGTGCCGGTGCTGCAGACAGAGGATTAACTTACTGCACCACAGTGCTGATCCTCATATAATTGATTTTAATATTGATCTTGAATTCTGCAAGTATTTATTCATTCTAATAGAATTTAGTGCATTCTTCATGATTTTCTAGCTACAAAATCTTGTCTTCTGTAATAGAGCTGTTTTGCTTCTTTTGAAATATGGATGCCTTTTCATTTTGTGTTTTGCTGTCTTGGCTAATGAATCCAATCTGATGTTGAATAGAAATGACAGAGTGTACATTCTTCTCTTGTTCTTGTTCATAAGGAGGAAAGCACTATCTTCCACTTTATTGGTGATGTTAGCTGTCAGTTTTTCCCTAGCTACCCACTAACATATTAAGGAAGTTTCCTTGTATGCCTAGATTTCTGAGTGTTTTTACCATGAGGTAAAAACCCAGTGTCTACAGTGACAAGAAGCTGGAATCAGGAGCCAGAACCGAGAGTCAAACCCAGGTGGCACTCAAAACTCTATGTACCACTCAGACCTCTTAATTACCAGGCTAAATACCCATTCCTGGTGCTCTGTTTCCTAAGGGAGATTATGCAGTTTCAAAAAACTATGTTGCTGTTTCTGCCATCTTTCATGAATTCTGCATTGTGTGCTGTAATACAAATTTAATATTAAAAGAGATTTGTGGAGATGAAAACGTACAAGGCATTGTTTCATTCACGCTCTCCTCTGCATTTAGCAAGTAGTTCTTTAACAGTTATGGTTGAATTATGGAAAATACATTATTATTTTAAAATTTTTTAAAAGATTTTTTAAAATTTATTTGAAAGGCAGAGTTACAGAGAGGCAGAGGCAGAGGCTGAGAGAGGTCTTCCACCCACTGATCACTTCCCAGATGGCCACAATGGCCAGAGCTGGGCCACTCTGAAGCCAGGAGCCAGGAGCTTCTTCCCAGTCTCCCACACGGGTGCAGGGGCCCAAGGATTTGGGCCATAGGCCACTGCTTTCCCAGGCCATAAAAGAGAGCTAGATTGGAAGTGGAGCAGCTGGGACTTGAACCAGGGCCCACATAGGATTCCAGCACTGCAGGCAGCGGCTTTATGTGCTACATCACAGTGCTGGCCCTGGAAAAATAAATTATTAATTATGGCCCTTTTGTCTGAAAGAGCTCAGTTAATAATACAATAGTCAAATATTTTCATGTGTATAGAAGGTCTACCTCAATCTCACATATAATGGCTTATTGTTTGTAAACGAAAGATCTGTTGATTTTGTTTTTATTTGGTCTTAGTTTGGTTTGTTTTGTGGACCAGAAGAATGCAGCTTTGGAAAAATCAATATCCTGGTAAGATCTACCAGCATGTTTGCTTCTAATGGCAATTTCTACTTTCATGATTCCTTACTGTTCTGATTGTCCCTGCTTGTTAAAGAAATTCTGTCAAAGAAAATAAGGTGAACAATTCTTATGAATAAAAAGCCGGAATTGAATTTTTTCATCTCCTGAAAGAGCTCAGAAAACAGTCAGGTAAATACCACCATTGATTTTAATCAAATTCTATTAGACAAAAATGCTCTTTGTAAGGTCTGTTTATCTCTGAAATAGGTTTTCTAAAATAACTTCAAGGAACAATAACTTTTTAGTCCCTTTATCTTTGGTGTACACTATACATCCAGAATTTGCTCAGATAATATAGTTTGATAAATTTTACTTAGGGAATACACATAATTAGCCTCTGATCTGCTGGCTATATATTCTCCAGTTATTTAGTAAATTGTAAATCATAGAACTTATGAGATAAGTGCATCAGGTTCTCTTAGACTCATTCATTGATTGTTACAGAATGGCAGGTGCCCTGAGATGGCCCAGGGTTAAAGAAGCACAGGATTGTTAGGCCGGTGCCGTGGCTCACTAGGCTAATCCTCCGCCTTGCAGCGCCGGCACACCAGGTTCTAGTCCCGGTCGGGGCGCCGGATTCTGTCCCGGTTGCCCCTCTTCCAGGCCAGCTCTCTGCTGTGGCCAGGGAGTGCAGTGGAGGATGGCCCAAGTCCTTGGGCCCTGTACCCGCATGAGAGACCAGGAGGAAGCACCTGGCTCCTGGCTTCGGATCAGTGCGATGCGCTGGCCGCACCGTGCCAGCCACGGCGGCCATTGGAGGGTGAACCAATGGCAAAAGGAAGACCTTTCTCTCTGTCTCTCTCTCTCACTGTCCACTCTGCCTGTCAAAAAAAAAAAAAAAAAAATAGCACAGGATTGCTATTTGCTGACTGGAGGAATGGAAATTCTCCCTTATTCTGAAGCTGACTGAGGACACACGTAGCCCTGGTTATTGCTGCTGGAAGATACAACACCGGGACCCAGGAGTCCTGGAAAACAGAGCAGAGAGAAGGAATTTGGTTGGTGACTATACAACTTAGTATCCAAACTAGGACACTTGTAGGAGTGAAAAGGTATTGTTAATATTTCTGCTAGGACAAAAACATCAGTCAGAGCTGTTTGAGGCGAAACAGGATCCATTGTCACCCTAATTCTCAGTGACCCCCCAGTCCTTGTACCAGCCTATATCCGAGGTCTGTTCTACCCCAGATCTTTTCAGTTCTACAAACCAATGTATTCTTTTTTTAAAAAGATTTATTTATTTATTTGAAATAGTTACAGAGAGAGGAGAGGCAGAGAGAAAGAGGTCTTCCATTCAATGGTTCACTCCCCAATTGGCTGCAATGGCCGGAGCTGTGCCGATCCAAAGCCAGGAGCCAGGAGCTTCTTCTGGGTCTCCCACGTGGGTGCAGAGGCCCAAGCACTTGGGCCATCTTCTACTGCTTTCCCAGGCCATAGCAGAGAGCTGGATTGGAAGTAGAGCAGCCGGGACTCAAGCAGCGCCCATATGGGATGCCGGCGCTTCAGGTCAGAGCGTTAACCCACCGCCCCACAGCACTGGCTCAATGTAATTCTGATTATTTAAGACTGTATATGTTAGCTGTTTGTTACTTGCAATATAAAATACCCTAATATAGTCTTTCAATTTCCTTCCAAGTTCTTCTTTGTTATGAAGGCATCAGGATTTCTGGACATGTCTGGAAACAACAATAATCTTCCATGAAATGTATTTATAAATAACACTGTAGGATTCACATATTAAAGGGAAGTGGAAAGTAATGATTTTCAAAATCAGAGGCTGGCATTGTAGTGTAATGGGTTAAGCCACCACCTGAAATGCAGCATCCTATGAGCGCTGGTTCAAGTCCTGGCTGCTCCAGTATTGATCCAGCTCCCTGCTAATGCACCTGGGAAAGCAGTGGAGGATGGCCCAAGTCCTTGGGTCCCTGCACCCATGTAGGAGATCTGGTTGAAGCTCCTGGTTCCTTGCTTTGGCCTGGCCCAATCCCAACCGTTACAATCATTTGGGCAGTGGACCAGCAGATGAAAGACCTCTCTGTCTGTCTCTCCCTCTCTCTATAACTCTGTCTTTAAAATAAATAGAATAAATCTTGAAAAAAAATAGAAGAAATAAAAATACACATACAGTGTGATTCCCAATCCCTGTGTTGGGGTTCTATTCTGCAAAATTTAAACCAGCTGTAGGTAAAGACATATGTGCAAAGATGTTTGTGCGGCCTTGTGCCAAAGACACAGAATGGTTGAAAACTTGTGATATATTCAAACTAAGGAGTATCTGGGGGCTTTTAAAAAAAGATGTAGTTAAATTTCTATGAGCTGGGGCCTGCACCATGGTGCAGTAGGTTAATCCTCTGCCTGCGGCGCCGGCATCCCATATGGGCGCCAGTTCTAGTCCTGGCTGCTCCTCTTCCTATCCAGCTCTCTGCTGTGGCCTGGGAAAGCAGTGGAAGATGGCCCAAGTCCTTGGGCCCCTGCATCTGCATGGGAGACTGGGAAGAAGCTCCTGGCTCCTGGCTTTGGATTGGTGCAGCTCCGGCTGTTGCGGCCATTTGGGGAGTGAACCAATGGAAGGAAGAGCTTTCTCTCTGTCTCTCCCTCTCACTGTCTGTAACTTTACCTCTCAAATAAATAAAATCTTTAAAAAAAAATCTGTATGAGCTGATCTGCAATTGTTAAAAAAAATAGGGTGGCTATGCAATGTGTACAGTTGGAATCATTTTTCTAATGGAACAACTTATGAATGTGTAGATGCTGGTCTATGGATATAGAGAAAGGTGTAGAACAATAAACCAACTTGGTAGTATTTGAGTAGTGGTGGTTAGTGGGGTGGATTTGTTGGGAAAGTTTAGTGTGGACTGGAGAAATGTGGAGAGATGATTAGTTTTTCTCTAATATATCTGTCTTATTGATCCTGTTACAGTGATTTTTTTAAGATTTTTTTTTTAATTTGAAAGAGTTACAGAGAGAGGTAGAGACACAAAGGGAGAGGTCTTCTGTTGCTGGTTTACTTCCAAAATAAATGGCTGCAATAGCTGGAGCTGAGACGATCCAGAGCCAGGAACTGGGAGCCAGGAGCTTCTTCTGGGTCTCCCCTGGGTGCTGGGGCCCAAAGACTTGGGCCTACTTCTGCTGCTTTCCCAGGCACATTAGCAGGGAGCTGAATTGGAAGTGGAGCACCAGGATTTGAACCGGCGCCCATATGGGATGCCCACACTGCAGGCCAGGGCCTTTAGCCCACTGCACTACAGCACTGTTCCCACAGTGATCTTTTTCTTGTCATTAAAGTTTGGTGTTTTGGAGAGGGAGACTGTATTGGTCTATTTTCTGTTACTATTACAAAATACTGGGCAATGCGTAAAAAAAAGAGGTTTGCTAGCTCACAGATGTGTAGGCTGAAAGTCAAGCAGCTTGATGCTGGTTCAGATAAGGGCTCCCCTGCCTGTGTCACACCATGGCAGGAGGGCGTCATGGTGGAGCTCATGGGACAGGGAGAGATTCCCTGGTGAGCCAGGAGGGGCAGGCTCATGCTTTCCTAACAGTGCAGTCTTGCAAGCGTTAATTGGAGTCCCATTGAGAACTGTGTTAAGCCCTTCCTAGGGCAGCAACCCTCATGGCCTAACTAGGCTCCACCTCTTACAGGTTCCTGCACCTCCCTCACCACACTGAAGACCAAGCTCCCAGTGATCCGTTACACCAAGCTCAGTTAGAAGGAGACTTAGGGTCAGGTCTGGTAGGGTAGGGAGTGACAGTCCCACCTCTCTTCCCTGCTGGTCCCCAGGGTGCAGAGGTGCAGGCCTGTGATGGGAAAGTGGGGCTCAGGTATGGCTTCCAGGGGACAAGCCAGGGTGAGTCCTCTCTCCTGCTGGAAGATGGAGAGAAACACGGCTTACCTGTGGAAAACATAAAGACCACCTATTAGTTGGCATGCTGTTCCCAGCCGCTGCCCCAGGACTGAGGGCCATAATGTGAACCCCGGGCTGTGGCCTAAGAGTGATGGTTTCCCGGCATGCAAACACCTGTTAGTTTCTACCTATGGAGACCAACGGCATCTCCTTACCCACCAAGCCTATCTGTGTGTTTTCAAGCCCGCTCTCTACCTTTGCCAGAAGCCTAAGGAAGTCAGCTTTCTATCCCAAGACTAGGAAAAGGAGCTGGGCTTGAACCTCTGCTTTGGGAAAGGTTTACCTTATACAAGTTTCACTGCAGTGGAAACACACAGACAGACACACACACACACACACTTGTACTGGAGTTCCCTCCCTTCTTCTTTTTTTTTTTTTTTAAAGCATTGACTTTTGTTAGCTTGTCTGTGTCTTGCCAAAGTAACACGGACCCAATGTGGAAAGCCGGGACAGCTGAGGAAAGTGAGATCTTTTGGCTCTCCCAGATAGCTAGGAATGTTTTCATGTACACGGGAATGTGCCTTGTGAGCTGGTTTGCATTCTGCTTGCTTTCTCTTCTACCACTTTCGACCCTTTTTTTCCCCAGAACTATCCCAGATCTTTCTCCACTGGTGGTCGCAGCTCCACTGCAGCCCTCCTCCAGGCCTGGGGCCACCTAGGCCCCCGCAAGACTGCCTGGCTTTCGTCGGCGCCGCGGCCCCTTTAAGCCGGCAGGCCAGGGGGCGGTCCCCGCGCTGATTGGCGGCGCCCGGAGACACGTGGCGGTCCCGGGGAGTTGGTTCCTGCCAGAGCCAGGCGGCCCGGGAGCCTGGGGGCTCGGGCGGCCGGGCATCGCCTCTCCCCGGGCAGGGGAGCAAGTTGACAGATGTGCCTGGGGCGGTCCCTGGTTGGCCTCACCTATTGTACCTGCTACCTGGCGTCTTACGTCACGAACAAGGTGAGGGGACAGGCGGGGAAGGCGGTGATGGCACGTGGGAGATTCGGGCTCCAGCTTTTCATCTTTAATACATTGTGGATGGGGATAAAGAAGAAACTGACTCTGTGGGATGCGCTTTTAGGATAGGATTTGCTGGACCGTAGTTCTGCGATTCCTGCTCTGCACGTCTGCTGAGAAACTGGATTATTTTGACCGGCCGCGGTCTGAGGGCTTAAGACCGGCCAGCGAGGACCACTTTAAAGGGAAAAACAAAGTAAAACCCAAAAAGCCGAAAAGCAAATTGGCTGCTGGTTCCCTCGGAAGGAAAGAGTCGGGAAGCCAGCAGATGCTCCTCCTGTTTTCTGAACACTCCCCTGCCCCCAAAGCCCACCCTGAAAGATTCCAGAAGACTTAAATGGGGGAGGGGGCTGTTCCACCTCCTCCAACTCCCCTCATTCCCACACCTGTGTTGGATGTCTCCATCCCAAGCACTTTAGGTATATTCTAGGCTTCTTCCTGGAATTATTTTTTGTGCAATTATTATTTTTTAAAATATTTATTTTATTTGAAAGGCAGAGTTACAGAGAGGCTGAGGCGAGGGAGGGAGGGAGGGAGGGAGAGAGGGAGAGAGAGAGAGAGAGAGAATATGAATGAGGTCTCACATCCTCTGGTTCACTCCCCAGATGGCTGCAACAGTCGGAGCTGCGCTGATCTGAAGCCAGGAACCAGGAGCTTCTTCCAGGTCTCCCACGCAGTGTGGGGGCCCAAGGACTTGGGCCATCCTCCACTGCTTTCCCAGGCCATAGCAGAGAGCCGGATCAGAAGTGGAGCAACCGGGACTCGAACCAGTGCCCATATGGGATGTCGGCACTGCAGGTGGTGGCTTTACCTGCTAAGCCACAGTGCCGGCCCCTTGCAATTATTTTTAAAACTAGAACTAAAATGTAACTTTACGTCAACTACCATGTAGTCCTCTGTTTGGGGTTTCGTTTTGGTAGGAGGAGTAAGTTGGCCATGGGTTTGGTGCCGTCAGTGAAATGTTGGACCCATGAGCACGGGTAGGGCATTACCTGCTGGGCTGGTCTCTGGGCTGCTGCCACAGTGGTGATGTGAGGCCCAGGACTGCTGTACTGGGCTGTGGAGTGTGTTCTGCCCTCTTTGCACTTCTTCCCCTCCTCTCGACCCTGGCTCTCTGTGCAGAACCGTCTGGAAGCAGCATTTGAGCATCACTCACAGTGAGTGGCTGCCTTCAGTGGACGCCATCAGAGGAGGACGCCACCCATGCCCGTTTCCCTCCGCAGGTCATGTTTAGTTGTGGTTGTGGCCCTTGGAAGAGCCACGACTGTAGACCTATTGGGAGGCATCCTGGCTGCATAAACTTAGCCATGGATGCCTTAATCTCACTCTATCTTTTTGTCCTCAAAGGTTTATTTATATGAAAGGCAGAGTGTTGAGAGAGAGAGAGAGAGAGAGAGAGGGAGAAATCTTTCATATACTGGTTCACTTCCCAAATGCCCCCAAGAGCCCAGGACTAGGCCAGGTGGAAACCAGGAGCCCTGAACTCCATCCTGTTCTCTCAGTGGGTGGCAGGGATCCAAGCTGGGCCATCACCCACATTAGCAGAGTAGTTGGGATTCAGATTGGCACTCTGATTCGAGATTTGGGCATCCCAAATGGCAGCTCCACCTGCTGCACAAAAACGCCTGCCCCAACCTTAAACTCTTTTAGATTTTTATTTTTTGTGTTTTGTTTTTGTTTTAAGATGGAATAAAAAGTCCTCTTCACAGGGTGGCGAGAATGAGCTGATGTTGTTGTGGAGTGGTTGGCCTTCTGCCTGTCATCGCACAGGGTCAGTAGCAGTGACTCTAGAAGAAGGAAAGGGAGGGGCCGGCGCTGTGGCATAGCCGGTAAAGCCGCTGCCTGCAGTGCCGGCATCCCATAAGGGCACCGGTTCGAGTCCCAGCTGTTCCACTTCCAATCCAGCTCTCTGCTGTGCCCTGGGAAAGCAGCGGAAGATGGCCCAAGTTCTTGGGCCCCTGCACCCGCGTGGGAGACCCAGAAGAAGCTCCTGGCTCCTGGCTTCGGATTGGCGCAGCTCTGGCCATTGCGGCCATCTGGGGAGTGAACCAGCGGATGGAAGACCTCTCTCTCTGGCTCTACCTCTCTCTGTAACTCTGTATTTCAAATAAATAAATAAATAAATAAATCTTTTAAAAAAAAAGGAAAGGGAGACAGGAAGGACAATGTTTTGCTTACGGTGCAACTCAGTAATTATTAGCTTCTGACAGATTTGTTTGCTTGTAAGACAGGTAGCCTAAGAAGTTTTGGTTTTCTGTAGCACCTACTCAGAATATGTGAATTTGTGATATCTTGACCTTTTCAACTCACTATTTCCAACTGGCCTACTTAACCTGGAAAATACATTGGTGATGTTTTACTTTAAACCAGGATGACCTTTCTTTTATTTCCTTACCATCATCAGAAGGGCAGAATAGCATGTCTTTCCTGAAAGCCCACAGACCGTGGCACTGAGTAGGCAAAATCACTTTTGAAAAAACCTGTATTTATTTATCTATTTGAAAGGCTGAGTGACAGAGAGGAAGAGACGAGAAATAGGTCGTCCATCGGCTGGTTCACTCTCAGAGTGCTGCAATGCTCAGTACTGGACTGGGCCGAGGCCAGGAGCTGGGAACTCCATCTGGGTCTCCTATGTAGCAGGGGCCCAAATACTCAGGCCATCTTATGCTGCTTTCCCAGGTGCATTAACAGGGAGCTAGAGTGGAACAGCTGGGACTTGAACTGGCACTCTCTTTTGGGATACTGGCGTTACAGTTGGTGCCTTAACCTGCAACAGCTGAGGCTGGGCTGGGAGGAAACCAGGAACTCAATCCAGGTCTCCTATGTGGGTTTCAGGGTCTCACCTACTTGAGCCATTACCCTTCTCCCTCCCAGAGTATGCATTAGCAGGAAACTGGAATTGCAAGTGGGTCTGGGGGCCAGTGCTGTGGCATAGCGGGTAAAGCCACTGCCTGCAGTGCCAGCATCCCATATGGGTGCCAGTTTGAGTCCAGCTGCTCCACTTCCAATCCAGCTCGCTGCTATGGCCTGAGAAAGCAGTGGAGGATGGCCCAAGTCCTTGGGCCCCTGCACCTGTGTGGGAGACCCCGAAGAAGCTTCCGGCTCCTGGCTTCAGATCGGCTCGGCTCTGGCCAATGCGGCCGCCTGGGGAGTGAACCAGCGGATGGAAGACCTCTCTCTCTCTGTAAGTCTGCCCTCAAATAAATAAATAAATCTTTAAGAAAAAGAAAAAGAAAGTGGGTGCAGTACTTAAACCTAAGCATTCTTGATATGAGATGCTGGTGTTCCAAGTGGTGTTTTTATTTTTATTTTTATTTATTTATTTATTTTTTTTTGACAGGCAGAGTGGACAGTGAGAGAGAGAGACAGAGAGAAAGGTCTTCCTTTGCCGTTGGTTCACCCTCCAATGACGCGCTGCAGCCGGCGCACCGCGCTGATCCGATGGCAGGAGCCAGGTGCTTTTCCTGGTCTCCCATGGGGTGCAGGGCCCAAGCACTTGGGCCATCCTCCACTGCACTCCCGGGCCACAGCAGAGAGCTGGCCTGGAAGAGGGGCAACCGGGACAGAATCCGGCGCCCCGACCGGGACTAGAACCCGGTGTGCCGGCGCCGCTAGGCGGAGGATTAGCCTAGTGAGCCACGGCGCCGGCCCCAAGTGGTGTTTTAAATGCCTGCACCAAATGCCTGGCCCTATAAGTTTTAAATGCTATGTTGTATTGTTATAATGATTCTGATTGTCATAATATATGGTATGTTGTTAGAATAATTCTACTTTCTCATTAGTTATTGCTGCTAATCTCTCAGCGTGCCTAACTTATCATAGGTGTGTCTACATAGGAAAAGACCGTGTGTGCAGGATTCGGTATTGTCCCTGGGAAGGTCTTGCAGCATATCCCCTGCAGGCCGAGGCGGTGGTGGGGTGGGGGCTGCTACAGAGGCTGAACGGGAAAAGAGAGCTGTGCAGTGAGCATGTCCTGCATCTCGCCTCTCTGCCAAATGAATTTTCTTTTGAATTTGTGAAGATTTTCTGTGTCTACAGTAACAATGCTCTCTTCCAGTTTTTCCATACTAAGTTATTTCCAGGTTTCTCTGTGTAGTTTTCTCCTTCAACTGTTCCCCTTCTTTATTTTAGAAAGAATTTTAAAAAATTAAATCTTATACACCTTCCACTGTTTTAAAAAATGGCTGGTTTTGGGGGCCATGTTGTGGCGCAGTGGGTATAGCCTCTGCCTGTGATGCCGGGTCAAGTCCTGGCTACTCCATTTTCAATCTAGCTCCCTGCTAATGCTCCTGGGAAAGCAGGGGAAGATGGCCCAAGTCCTTGGGCCTCTGCCATCCACGTGAGAGGCCTGGATGGAGTTCCCGGCTCCTGGCTTCTGCCTGGCCCAGCCCTGACTGTCACAGTCATTTAGGGAATGAACCGACAGATGGAAGATCTCTCTTTCTCTCTCTTTCTCTTGCCATCTTTCTCTGTCACTCTACCTTTCAAATAAATAAAATAAATGTTTTTACAAAATGGTTGGTTTTTGATGGGGCTTTGAAGCACCAAGTGTGTATCAGAGGAAGCTACTCTAGGTGGAGTCAAGATGGCCCAACACTGCTGGGTTCTAGCCAGGGTGGCTTGGGATTCTGGCCTGGCCTGAGCTGTGCAGTCTTGTGTTCTGTGGGAGGCCCAAGCTCCCTGCCTGTCCTGTCACAGCTGTGGAGCCTTCTGCCTGGAGCCCAGCCCACTTCCGGGCTTCCTTCAGAGGCTCCCAGATGGCTCTTTCTCTTCCCGTGAGAACCTTGCTGTGAGGGTTTGCTTTCGGCCGTGCAGTGGTCTGCTGCGAGCATCGCTTCCCAGCGATGTGAAGGAATTCCTGGAAGGAGGCATTTTTAGCACTTAGCTTCTGTTTCTCACAGATTCCTTTTTTCACCGCTCTTTAGCCAGGTGAGGTGAGACCTTAGGAAGCTATGAGCTTCCCCAATATCTAGGCCAGGGCTAAACACACAATAAACTCAGTGAATATTTGGTATCAGAAGGAAAGTCAAAGATGCCATCCAACACGTGACCCCAATGCTCCCTTAGTCCTTTCTCTTTTCCATTTTAGACTAGAAATATCAGGAAAAATGAGGAAGCAGCATATGGATTATGTTAATAAACTGACTTCCTGGAAGAATAACCGAGGATTGGAGTGTAGGCAGCCATCTTAGGCAGCCATATTTGGGGTGTTTAAGAGCTCACATGGGGGCCGGTGCTGCAGCTCAATAGGCTAATCCTCCGCCTGTGTCGCTGGCACACCAGATTCTAGTCCTGGTCGGGGTGCCGGATTCTGTCCCGGTTGCCCCTCTTCCAGGCAACCTCTCTGCTATGGCCAGGGAGTGCAGTGGAGGATGGCCCAAGTGTTTGGGCCCTACACCCCATGGGAGACCAGGAGAAGCACCTGGCTCCTGGCTTTGGATCAGCGTGGTGCGCTGGCCACAGCGCACCGGCCGCGGCAACCATTGGAGGGTGAACCAACAGCAAAAAGGAAGCCCTTTCTTTCTGTCTCTCTCTCTCTGTCCACTCTGCCTGTCCACGGTAAAAAAAAACCACAAAAAATATCGAGAGAGAGAGAGAGAGAGAGAGCTCACATGGGGAATTCTGTGTGGCTGATTCCTGGGAGAAAATTGATACATAAATATGCCCATCACTAGTTTTTAGATCATGGAAAGAATCAGTGGAATCCTTGCTTAAAGCCATGGAATGGTTTCAGATTTTCAAAAATATTCTTCCGTGTTCAATCATTGAAAAAAAGACAGAAAAAGATTCCTCAAAGGATGAAACAGAGTTTCTCTATTCAGTGCTGTAAATTCCATAAAAAGAGGTACTAGAAATACAAATCGAGCTGAGTTGAGTGGGTTTAAAAAAGAATCCTTAAAATTCTTAAATACAGCAACATTTATGACACCTATGCAGATTTGTTTTAAAAATATTGTTTAATGCAAAGCCATGCAAAATCCTAAAGACTGAAGGAAAACAAAGACATTTAAAGACATGGAGAAGGGGTTGGAGTTTTAGGTAAACTGGACAGTAGGCAAACGGACCCTGTGCAGGCAGCTGAGCAGTTTTCTCGAGTTGCTGCCGTGACGGCGTGGCATGTTCCCGGGGTGGCACCATCTGTCCCTGCTGTGGGCTTCCCATTTGCTGACGATACCGGCACCATCCTCCTGCTGAGAGGTGGTCTGGCTTCCAGTGGCCCCAAGGAGAAGCAAGCCCACTTTCTTTAGGATGACTTCGCAGGCCATCTGTGTGTGTGTCAACTGTGTGATTTCAGTGGGGAATAAAGGTCTTTTTTGAAACTTGAATTTGTTTTTGGATGGTCTCCCAGTTCTCTCTCATTTGAAATGTCTATTAATTTGCTCTTTGTTTTCCAGTATGTCCTGTCTGTCTTGAAATTTACCTACCCTACGTTATTCCAAGGGTGAGTATTGTTTATGTTCTTTATACAGAAATGTCCAGCCAACATCATTAAATGTTATTAAGAATACACTGAACGAATGCATAGACATCCTGTAATTTGACTATTCAATGAATGAGCATATAGGTTATATTTTATTAAAAATTATTATTATTATTATTATCATCTGAGAGTCCAAGAGAGAAATAGAAATCTTATCTGCTAATTTACTTCCAAAATGCCCTCAGTGTCTGGGACTGAGCCTAGCCAAAGCTAGGAGCCCAGAACTCAAACTGGGTCTTTCACGTGGGTGGAACTGGGAGCCGGAGCTGGAAGTTGACTAGGCACTCCAGTACTGGACATGAGCATCTTCATTGATGTCTTAACCTCTGGGCCAAGCACCTGCTTCTTGTGTTCAGTTTTAGAAGCATAAAAGCAACAGTGTTCTCAGATATTTTTGTGTTAAGATTTGCCAAATTTCCAAGTAATTCTTGGGGATAGATGCCTACCTAAGAAATTTGAATTAACGAATGTGAAGTTTTCTAGTATTCTTTTCAAGTATTAGCAAGTATATTTTCCAAAAGTTATTTTACCAGTTTACATTGCCACATAGTCTCTATATGAAAATTTTATAATATTTTACTGAAATCATGGTTCATTTTTTTCTCTGCTGATTTCATGAGCGAAAAATTGTACAGGTTGAGTATCTGTAATCAAAATCCCAAATCCAAAATTCCTCAAGATCCAAAACTTTTTGAGCCCTGATATCATGCCAGAAGTAGAAAATTCTATACCTCACCTCATATGTTGGGCTGCAGTCAAAATTCAGGCTCACTAAACATTTGGCATAAAATGTATATGGCTTCAGGCTTTGTGTATAAGGTGTATATGAAGCATAAATGAATTTTGTGTTGGGATTTGGGTCTCATCCCCATGATATCTTATTATTTGTATGCAAATATTCCAATATCTGAAATCCAAAGCACTTCTAGTCCCAGACATTTTAGAGAAGTGATACTTGACCTGTATATTGTTTTGTCTGATAATTTCTTACTTCATTAATGAAGTTGGACAGTTTCCTTAGGCTTATTATCCACTCATATCCTATGTTCCGTGTATTGTCTTTTTGTGCCTTTTGCCCATTTATTTTCTTAGTATTTTTCTTTCTTTTTTTTTTTTTGTGTGTGAAGATTTATTTATTTATTTGAAAGGCAGAGTTACAGAGGCAGAGAGAGAGAGAGAGAGAAAGAAAGGTCCTACATCTGCTGATTCATTCCCCGAATGACTGCAATGGCTAATCTGAGCTGATCCGAAGCCAGAAGCCTGGAGCTTCCTCCAGGTCTCCCACATGGGTGCAGGGGCTCAAGGACGTGGGCTATCCTCCACTGCTTTCCCAGGCCATAGCAGAGAGCTGGATTGGAAGTGGAGCACTCGCAACTTGAACTGGCACCAATATGGGATGCTGGCACTGAAGGCTGCAGCTTTACCTGCTATGCTGCAGTGCTGGGCCCCATGTATTTTTCTTAAGAATTTATTGAGGGCTTTTTATTTATTTATTTACTTTTTTATAGAAAGCTTTTATTTAATAAATATAAATTTCATAGGTACAACTTTTGGATTATAGCGGTTCTTCCCCTCATACTGGCCCTCCCACCTCCAAACCATCCCAACTCCTCCTCCCTCTCCCATCCCATGCTTCATTAAGATTAATTTTTAATTATCATTATATACAGAAGATCAACTCTATACTAAGTAAAGATTTCAACAGTTTGTACTCACACAGACACAAAAAGTATAGAACTGTTTGAAGACTAGTTTTACCGTTAATTCTCATAGTACAACTCATTAAGGACAGAGGTCCTACATGGGGAACAAGTGCACAGTGATTCCTTTTTGTTGATTTAACAATTAATACTCTTATTTATGACATCAGTGATCACCTGAGGCTCTTGTTATGAGCTGCCAAGGCTATGGAAGCCTCTTGAGTCCACAAACTGACATTATTTAGACAGGGCCATAATCAAAGTAGAAGTTCTCTCCTCGCTTCAGAGAAAGTTACCTCCTTCTTTGATGGCCCTTTTTTTCCACCAGGATCTCACTTACAGAGATTTTTCATGTAGGACAATTTTTTTTTTGCCACAGTGTCTTGGCTTTCCATGCCTGAAATACCCTTGGGCTTTTCAGACAGATCCGAATGCCTTAACGGCTGATTCTTAGGCCAGAGTGCTGTTTAGGGCATTTGTCATTCTATGAGTTGGCTGTGTGGCCTACTTTCCATGTTGGATTGTTCTTTCCTTTTAATTATATTATTATTAGCAGACACTTGGTCTTATTTATGTGATGAGGGCTTTTTATTTTAAGGATGTCTACCATTTGTCCATCAGATTTATTGGAAAATTTTTAAATTTGTCCTTTGCCTTTAGTTTGTTTATAATTACCTTGTTTTATTATTTAAAAAAATTTTTTTTTGACAGGTAGAGTTATAGACAGTGAGAGAAAGACAGAGAGGAAGGTCTTCCTTCCACTGGTTCACCCCCCGAGCTATGCCGATCTGAAGCCAAAAGCCAGGTGCTTCTTCCTGGTCTCCCATGCAAGTGCAGGGCCCAAGCACTTGGACCATCCTTCACTGCCCTCCCGGGCCACAGCAGAGAGCTGGACTAGAAGAGGAGCAACCAGGACTAGAACCCGGTGCCTATATGGGATACCAGTGCCAGAGGCGGAGGATTAACCAAGTGAGCCACGGTGCCAGCCCATCCATCACAAGATCTTGTAGATGTTTATTTGTATTTCACTGAAGCCTTATTCTATTTTTAATCATAATCAGTTTGTTTTAGCATTTAGGGCAATGTGAAGACATCATCCGTCCCACAGTAACTAGCTAATTTATACCAGCCCCATTGATTATGTACTCCTTCCTTTGGCCTTTGAGTTTTTAATATCATGTACTTGGATAACATTATTTTTGTAGAGTCCTTATGGGCATTTATCTGTCAGTTTTTATGGAAGGGGCCTAGTGTGGAATTGTTTTAATAATGTATCTATTTATTTATCTTCATTTGTATTTGAAAGGCAGAGAGTCAGAGAGAAACAGAGAGATGGAGCTTCCATCTGCTGTATCACTCCCCAAATGCCCACAACCACCAGGGCTGGGCCAGGCTGAAGCCAGGAGCCAGGAACTCCATCTGGATCTTCCACATGGATGGCAGGGACCCAAATACTTGAGCCATCACCTGTTATCTCCCAGAGTGTGCATTAGCAGGAAGCTGGATCAGAAGCAGAGTAGCCAGGACTTGAACTAGGCACTCCAATATGGGATGTGGGCATTCCCAGCAGTGATTTAACCACTGTGCCTAACCCTGCAGCTGCATCCCGACCGCCTTCTCTTGTGACAAGCGAGCATTTTCTGTCCTGATTGTCCTTTCCTTTGTCTCCAGCTGGAGAGACTTGAGGAACTCCCAGGGGGAAGGCTGGTATGCACAACTGGACTGCCTTTGCCTTCCTGGGCGTGGGCGAGTGAGATGGGCTGCGCCTCCCTGGGAGTGTCCCGTCCACACAGGCAGGAAGTGCCTCTTCTGTTTTGGCCTGGCCCAGTCCCAGTCACTGTGGCCGTTTGGGGCGTGAACTAGCAGATGGAAGATCTCCCCCTGCCCCCTTTCTCTCTGTAACTCTGCCTTTCAAATACATTAATACATCTTTAAGACAATCCTCTCGCTTGTAAAGAGAGGGCGCTTTCCCACGTGTAAATGTGGCAGTATTGTTCCATGCCTGAGACCCTGCAATGTGTCCACAGTTCGAAGTCTCAGCTCCTTTCCATGACTGACATGGCCCCCAAGACCAGCCCCTTCTCTCCAGGGTCCGCTCTTGCCATCTCCCTGTCCTTCCGATACTCAACTGCCAAGGTCTAGAGCAGCTGAACTTCCTGAGAAGCTTTGAACGAGCCATTGTGTGTCTCACCGCTGGCCATTCGTCTCTTCTGGGTCTTCTGCCTTGAACACACTTCCTGCATGAGCTCTCATTGCTTCCTCCAGACTTACCCAGCTCACCAGGCCGGCTGAGTTGCCCTCACCTGGGTGACCTGTGGTAACTGGCACTCATCCTATTAGCATCTCTTACTAACTAGTGTTAATTACCTTATTTTCCTCTAGACCAGAGATTCTCAGTCTCATAGTGATATTCTGGAATCTGAATTTTGAGTTATATATATATTTTTTTGCTGTGGGGGCTGCCCTGCACACTGTAGGATATTTAGCATTATCCCTCACTCCTACTCAGTAGACGCCAGTAGTCTCTCCCGACCCTTCCTCCTCCACTTCCTCCTCCTCCCCCAGCATGACAAATATGCCCAGGCACTTGCCAACTGTCCCTTGCAGGAGAAATGGCCTGGTTGAGAAACTGTGCTGCAGGCCAGGCTGTTGGAGGGCATGGCTGGGCCTGTGTTGGTCTTCTCTGCTCACCTGGGCTAGTGAAGCTCCACCAGGGAGGAGCGCACACTGGGCCTTGTCGGCCCAGCACACAGGAGATGGGAGGGCTGAGGACAGCACGTGGCAGCTTTGAACAGGCTGTGAGCCCTTCTGAGTGACTCAAACACAGCTGCCCACAGCGCCAGACAGGGCTGATCTGCCCAGGGACTGGGTGTTGACGTGAGTGACTTTGTCCTGCAGGCCAGGGGTTCTCCGTTGTAGGGTGGCCACACCTGGTGTGTTGCAGTCACCTTGAGGTGACTGAGGTGACGTGTCTCTAGTCATTCATGACTAACTAGGGAGTTTTCAGGTTTATGGATGATTCACCTAGAATAAAAAGCAACGAGAGTGAGATAGAATAAAGTTATGTCAACAGCTGCCTCTCACTCGTTTGGCAGTTTGGTAGACTTTCTGCTGGGGGGGAGGGAGGGGCGTTATTACCTGTGCTGCCCCAAGCACTGCACGCCAAGAGCAGGGCTCTCAGGGGGCTTGGGGTTTGTTGTGGCAGCAAAGGGGCTGAGGGTTGGCTGCCTGTGTCACCAGGAAGAACCAATTTAAAAAAAAAAAAATTAGAGAGGGAGAGGCTGGCACCGTGGCGTGGTAGGTTAATCCTCTGCCTGTGGCACTGGCGTCTCATATGGGCGCCAGTTCTAGTCCCGGCTGCTCCATTTCCAATCCAACTCTCTTCTATGGCCTGGGAAAGCAGTAGAAGATGGCCCAGGTCCTTGGGCCTCTGTACCCACGTGGGAGAAGGGCTGGCCATGTGGGTGTGGAGGACAGGTCCGCCAGGCTGTGCTGCGCTCAGACCATTGCGCTGACACTCGCGCTTGTCCTTTGCAGGTGGCAGACGTTCGTTGGCGGACTCCTGCTTCACGTGTCATGGAAGCTGGGCTGGGTAGAGATCAACAGCAGCTCCAGGTATAGCGTCCTCCCTGCACTTCATTTCTGGGTCGCACCTGCTTACTCGCAGTATCACTCATTGCTTATGGCGTTGCCCTGGGGAACATGGATGTTGCTTCCAGTTGTTTGGACTTCTAGTTTCCTTCTGACCCTGAGACTTAATGATTTTATGATCTGATGAAACACAAATAGTGTTGTTGTCCTGGTTAGTAATGCCACTAACATAACATACAAGTTACAATACCGTAGTCACACGGCTTGGTTTTAGATCATAGGATCACTGTGAATGCAGCTTTAAATTTTTTGTGTGTGAATTGGTTTTAAAATTGTTCCCTACCTACAGAAAAGTTAGAATATTATAGAACTCTCACACCCATTACTCAGGTTCCCAGTAGTTATTATACCACACCTCTCTATTCATTTTTTACATATATGTAAATTTATATATATATACTTTTTTTCTGAATTATTTAAGAGTAAGTTTCTAATTTAGTAAAACATTGCTTCTTCTTTTGATTTCTAAATTCAGTAGAATTTCCTAAATTCAGTAGTATTTCCTAAGAGCAAGGCTGTTCTCTTCTATGACTACAATATGGCTATAAAAACCACGGCATTAACATTGACCACACTCTTACCTCATCTACAGACTGTATTTTCCCAATAATATCCTGGGTCCAAGGTCCAATTTAGCTCATACTTTATGTTATCTCCTATCCTATAAAACACAACCTTTCAGGTAAGTTTAAAAGAAACCTCGAAGGCCCACGTCATTTTTATGGCCAGAACTTTAACCCGAATTAGTTGTCTGCTCCTGCCTTACCTAGATAAATCCTCCTGATTCTTTGAAGTCATCCAGCTTAGCCTGAAATGATGCACAAAATGAAAGGAAAACTAAATCAAGGTTTATTTGGATAAAATAAACGTCCCAGCTGGGTGATCAGGCCAAGTCACTTGCTTTATAATCCAAATTTTCTACCCAACTTGTCCATTAATCAGGTTAACTGCTTGATTGCTCAGCCACTCATTTGTTTGGTATTCTGAGAAAGATTTTAAAGCATATCCAATATAAATATGAATAATTTGGCTTCTCCTAAAAATATAATATTTGGAGAGCAAAAACTAGTATAAGAAGTTTCATAGAGGAGAGATTGTGGGACCACAGGTGTTGATTCATTTACTTGAACCGATTATGCCATGATCTATTTTCTGAAAAAATGTGCCACACAAGATGCTTAATACAAAGGAATAGTTAGGTCATATCTTTGCATTTTCATGGTATAGGGCCCTCAGCTGGATGGATTAAAGATACTTTTGGCATATTATGTGTTATATTAAGCACAAGCCTTACTTAAATGCTTCATTGTCACAGTTCATAGTTCAATAAGAACTGGAGCTCCATTTAAACCAATAGGTTTAATGGTCTAATCCTGAATTCACAAGGCTTGTAATAGTTCCAATATGTTGTCAAATAATGAGGCACCGTGGCTCCAAATGGTTAACTTTGTTCCTGCGCAGAAGCAGAAGGTTCGATGAGAATGAACGCTCTTGCCATGAGCCCACTGGTGTTGATCAGCTTGGGTCTGCTACCCATAGAAAGTTCCTATTGACTGTTATCTTTCAGTTTCTTATGTTAAGTGTTGCCTAATCATTGTCTTTTTAAAATTACGTTACTCATGTTTCCTTAAAAACAATGCCATCCTGCATGTTTAAAACATTTGTGTTAAAATATGCATCACTTGGGGCTGGCTAGACACCTGCATTCCACATTGGACTGTCTGGGTTTGATGCTTGCTTCTGATTCCTAACTCGAGTTTCCAGCTCAGGCAGCAGGGATGGCTGGAGTAGTTGGGTCTCTGGTTCCCATGTGAGAGACCTGGACTGAGATACCAGCTCCTGGCTCCAGCTCTGGCCTAGCTCTGACTGTTGTGAGCATTTGGAGAGTGAACCAGTGATTAGGAGATCTCTCAGTCTCTCAAATACATACACACACACACACACACACACACACCCCAGAAACTTACCACTTGAACCAGCTTTCAGTGTATAGTTCAGTGGTTTTTAAGGACATTCACAATGGTGTGCAGTCATCACCATCATAACCATCTCCCATCTCCACAACCTTTCCATCATCCCAAGCAGCAGCGGTACACCCACTACACAGTAACACCCCTTCCTCCCCTCCCCCCAGCCCCTGGTCACCGATGTTGTACTTTCTGTGTGTGTGATTTGCATCTTCCAGGTACCTGCTGTTTTGTTCTTTTGTGTCTCACTTAGTTCACTTAGCATAACATTTTCAAGGTCCAGTCCATGCATCAGAATTCCATTCCTGTTTAAGGCTGAGTGATACTCTTTTGTATTGAACTTTGCTTCTCCGTCATTTATGGATAGCGTTAGTCATACTTTTATTACTGTTTAGGGTGGCGTAGAGAAGTAACGGCTGGTAGAACTGGATGAAGTAAACTCGTCTCAAGACCACAAGTTTTTGCCTGGGAGAGGTGATCCTCTGGCTGCGGAGGCCTGGAGTTCATCAGGCACTGTGGCTCCGTGTACTTGACATGGTGCTAGATCCTGCCTGTCTCAGGGCGGCCGGATCGCGTGCCCCAGCCAAGCTTCTGAGAGGCTGTTTCTCTCTCCCTCCTGGACGTCCTAGGGGTTTCACAGCCACGCGTGACGTCAGCTCAGTCAGACTTCTCGTCAAGGATCCTAGAGTCTGGGTTTTTGCTGTATTTTATGCTGACACAGCTCAGGTTTCCCTTGGCCAGGGGGGTGTTACCAGCTGGCTACCAGGAGGGCCCGGTACCCGTGTTCTGTTCCGTGTTCCCGGGCTGGGTTGGGTCTGCTGTAGCTGCTGTTTTCCTTCTGGGATTGGTGTTTTCATTACATAAGGAAAGAACCCAAGCTCCGAGTGCCCAGGTGACTGAGTACCTGTGCAGAGAGGGCAGAGGGGTGGCCCTCGGAAAAATGGTACTGAGAAAGCCCTTATGATCTAGAACATTCCATTCTCCCTCTCAAATGAGCCTCAGACCTGGCAAGCATTTCTTTTGTCTGCTGCATCCCTCAGTCTCTGGCTGTGCCATGTATTGGCTGTACAGAGTGGCCTTCCTGAATCATTCTCTCCCCACAGTGCTGGTCGGGCGACCCGTCATTGCTTCCTGGTCTTGGATGGTGCCCTTGACACCTGTCTTGGGGCAGGCAGCCCGCCTTTCGGCCGCAAGGCTGTCGTGGGCTGGCTGCCTCTGCTATCGCCAAGCCACTGCAGAGGGGGAAGTGAAGTCACTTTCCCAGCAGATGTTGGAGTCTTGGCGGGAGTCTCCCCATGTTCTCTACAAAGGGATCCTGTAAGAACACGGTGAGCTGTTTCATCTGCCAGCATCGTGACCCCACAGGCTCCCTGAGCCATTGCTGAGGACAGACCCAGGCGTGATTTCCCTGGAGACTTCGGATGCAGTTCCACAGCTCCTCTACTGCTGGATTACGTGCTTAAATAAAAACACCCCCAAAGGAATCTGTAACCTACTTGCTGTTTTATTGTCCATCATCAACAGTAAATATTTATTTATTTATTTGAAAGTCAGAGTTACACAGAGAGAGAATGAGAGGGAGAGGGAGAGAGAGAGGTCTTTCATCTGCTGGTTCACTCTGCAGTTGGCTGCAACGGCTGGAGCTGTGCCATTCCAAAGCCAGAAGCCAGGAGCTTCTTCTAGGTCTCCCGTGCAGGTGCAGGGCCCAAGCACTTGGGCCATCTTCTGTTTTCCCAGGCCACAGCAGAGAGCTGGATTGGAAGTAGAGCAGCTGGGACTTGAATTGGCCTCCACATGGATTTCTTTATTTGAAAGGCAGAGTTGGGGTAGGGGGCATGAAACAGAGAGAGAAAGAGATCTTCCATCTACTGATTCATTCCCCAAATGGCCATAGTAGCTGGGGCTGGACTAGGCTGAAACCTTGAACCTATAACTCCATCTAGGCCTCCCATGTAGATGGCAGTGGCCCAAGTACATTAACAGGTACATTAACAGGAACCTGGGGCAGAAGCAAAGCAGCCAGTAATCAATCTTGCCCTCTGAGATAGGGTGCCAGAGTCCTAAGCAGCAGCTTAACCTGCTGCACCACAGTGCTGGCCCCTTCTCATATTCATTAGAAAGCAGACAGGCACACTTACCATTCAGGGGCCAGCAAGACCGATATTTCCTTTTAAGCTTCAGTTTCTTTGTTGATCATGTTCCTTAGTACTAACGGCTACTGTGTCTTTCATGTTGCACCTGCAGTCCGTCTCCTGAGGCTCATTGAGCTACATGTCCAGCCCTGGTCCTCCCAGGCAGGGTGTGGTACACAGTGTGGCTGTGGAGGGGACAGCTGTGCTGTCAGGATTGAAGGCAGCCCCAGACGCAGGAGCAGGGAGGGAGCGGTGGTCTTTCCCAACGTGGCGGTGTTGGGGCCTCAGCTGGCTGCCTGGAGGCCCTTGTTAACCTTTAGGAGTTGTTCCTGAAGAGGGCAACATTCCCATGAACTGGGATTATGTGTTGAGAACCTTCAACCAGTGAATGGAACAGTAGGTAGGCAGAAATGACTGTGCACGTTTGCAGAAGTGGGAAGAACTGTTAGGCAGCTGCCCTGGAGAGTGGAGCTTTGTGAGCCTGGTCCTTTGTGACTAGCCAGGGCCCTGCCTTGGGTGTGAAGCCTGCGGGCCTGCAGCTGGTGCGTGCCGGGGATTGGGCCTGCAGCTGCTTTATCGTCAGTCGGGTCAGCAAGCCATTGTGGGCCCTCTGTGGCAGTTACTCAGCTGCGCCGGCGACGTGCAGAAGCAGCTGTGGCCGTATTCACCTGTTATCAGATGGAGTGACTGCGTGCCAGGGACATGCCTTTCAGAAACAGGCAGCAGGTGCGATTTGGCCCACTGGCCATAGATTGCCTGCTCTGGCTCTAAATTGTGCCCTGTAGGAAACACACCATCACAGAGCTCTTGGGTTCAAGTGCGATGAGGACTGGACTTTGTCACAGGGTATATCCCTCTTTGGATC